ACTTTTAGCACAGTGACTGACGCTAACTCTCTCTCATAATGAGAATAATCTGATTCCACGTGTTCCGTTAATAGGAGCTTTTGACACACAGACACCCACACACACACACACACACACACACACACACACACACACACACACACACACACACACACTGCAGGTAGAAGTGTGTCCAAATCATCACTTTGGATAATTTGAATAATCATTGAATTAAATTCAACTGTCATACCTCAGCATCCAGAAAGGCAAGTTTGACAGTAAAAACACAACCTCCCACTCAGCAAAGCTTGATCGCAGATGGTGATGGTAATGATATTTCATGGTATGTCTGTTACATTTCAAAAGGAAAAGTAGGATAATTATATTCACTTTGGCGAGTGATTAGTTTTATGGAGGTGAAGAAGTAATTAATGAATTCTATTTCATTCTCATTTATTGTTACACTTCCTTGTATTGCTCCCTCTTGCCTAACTCAAGAGAGTACAAAAGAGTATCGAGTGTGACAAAGCTTCAGCACCGATGAGTCAGAGGGAGAATTACTTAGAGGCCCCCAGGCGAAGCATACGTTTTTGTCGTTCTCTGCAGTCTCATCAAACTCTAATACTACATGGCTAGCCTTCACTGAGTCTACTGATACTTTCCTCTGAATTAAAGTGCCTGTCTTAGACCTGACTGAAAGCAAATCCCAACAGCACTGAGTAAAAGAATTTAGTTGTTTTCAATTTATTCCAATTTAAGTGGATGTTGCAAGTTTATTTGAACTGAAATTTTACTTGATTACAAATATTTAATGCAGCAGTTTGCATCACTCTCTGATTTGTAAGTGAGATGTGATTGCCATTCAGTTTTGCACGCTCGACTGTGTCGGTTGCTAGGAGGCAATCATTTCCTTCATAGCGGGAGCTTTGCTACTGAACCAACTATTTGTTGTTGAAGCATCTGAGGCATAAACATCAATCCTAATAGCATGGGAAATGCTGGTGCTTCATCTTAAGATGCAAAGACATGCATGAAGCAACAGACCGTCAGAAGTTATGACTGTCGAATCTTTAAATCAATCATGAGTGTTTTCCTAAGCAAATAAAATTGTGTGTTTGTGTTTCCCGCTTTGCCCCCCATTGCCCTGCATGATTTTCACTTGTTCATACAACGTACCTCATCTTCAAATATATTGAAATGCTAATTAAGATGTTAGTAGTTGTCAGAGTACTTTATGTGCTCAATGCATCTTTGGCAAGCTCTTAGTTGAAAATTTACTTTTAAAGCTGCAGTGTTAGTCCAATCAGTGGTGTGGATCTATTGCCTTTCCGACCACAGGCTGCCCAGTCACACACACGCACGCACGCACGCACGCACGCACGCACGCACGCACGCACACACAGAGTCGACTCACACTTATCATACTTGTCTCTCCCACCTTGATATCAGATTCCCCTCAGTGGGGGAAAAACAGAAGAGAGAAAGCCTAGAGCTGTAGCAGCTCTGAGAGTTGCACCAGCTTTTCTAATTATGCAGCAAAAACTGTCTACGTAAACTCTTTGTTCTCATTCCTTTTGATTCTGGTCGGGTAATGTTCCTAAATGCCTCTCTCTTCTGTACAGAAATGATTTTCGTGATGGGGTAAACATGAATTTTTCCCACGACAGACACACAGCCTTTAACAGTAACCCCCACCCTATATTAAAATGACTTGTGACACCTTATTCTTGATGAGCATGTCTGCTAAAGCAAACAGATCCTAATGATTGTGGTGATTATCGTAATGATCCAATAGAAGTGGATAATGAGGTTATTTGCTTTGGATCAAGGCAGCCTGTAAATTAATAGCTGAGGGTATCATTCCAAACAAGATGACAAAGCTGTGTACTTTAGTGTAACTCCGCCATCGCTTCGCTTACAGCCGCATGTCTGTCTTTGTGTTGATACAACTGTCTGTCATTTGCTCTTCCTCACACTTTCTCTCTCGTTCACCCTCCTCACCTTTCCACCAGTGCAGTGAAATTGCTGTCCATTCCCCCATTTTGTGGGCCCTGGTCTCATAGGGATATGATGTTCTGCTCTATTAGAAGAGAAACAGTGATGATAATAATGGTGGATGTGATCAGTGCAAAAGGTCAGCCTCTGGCCTCGGGCGCGCAACATCCTCCAAGTAGGGAAAGCACAGAGGGCGAAGACACCCATCTCACACCCTCCAAAGTCTCCTAACCTTCCTCCACCCAGAGGCAGACTGACTCATAGACACAGGCAGAAGAAATACTTTCTCCTTTGCCATTATTTCCTGCTTTCTTACTATTCCTTTGCTGTTCTCACTAAGCTATTTTCAGCCGCTCCCCCTCCCACTCTCTCTTATTTATTCTCGTTATACAGAAAGTCATCCTTCCCCTACTTCGTTTGTTCCTTACTTCCTTTGCTCCTTCTGTTCCTTGTTTATTAGTTACTCAAGCTGCATGATGCTTCCATTCTTTTGTTGTTGCCTCATTCCTTTGTTCTGTCATTCCTTTGTTTCTTCTTTTCCTTAATTGTTGCCTTCTCTCCATCCTTCTTTCCTCTATTCTGTTCTCCGTTCCTACCACATTGACATGGAGTGTTGTGTAATGCTAGCTTTCTTTTTGTCACAAAATAAAATCTATTTATCCACCCTGCACTTTCCTTTCCTTCCCTTCCTCAATCCCCAACCCCCCCCGCTCTCTTTCACTGGCCCTCCTCATCTTCTGAGACCACAGGAGAGCTATTGTTGAAAAGTACAGACTGAAGCACAGTCAAAGGAAAACATGAGGAAAGACAGATTTTTCTTATTAAAAACACAAAAGTTGGAGAAAAGACTAAGGCCTGTCACTGCACAGGAGGGGATCACTTTTTGACCATTAATAATACAACAAGATCGAGTGGAGAGAAGAGGGTGGGTGAGGAAAGGCCGTGAGAGAGAGTGGAGCAGCCAAGGCCTCTACAGTACCACATCACATGTCTATTGCTATTTGTTTACTGCTTTTCTACTCTTTCTTCATCTGTCCTGCCCTCCCTCTGAGTGTGTCCTTTTCTCTCAGCTGCTGGTCATAGAGGGTGGTCGCAAACAAACTCAAATTAAGGCACAGGCTGCATTAGTGCAGAGGTTGTGTAAGTGTGTGTGTGTGTGTGTGTGTGTGTGTGTGTGTGTGTGTGTTTGTGTATGCTGTAAAAAAAACAAAACAAAAAAACAGCTGCTGCGGATGTGCTTTGTACTCTGTGTTCTGTTTTCGTTCTCTCTCCATTTTTGCTTTTTGCCTTCTCTTCTCTTTCACTCTGTCTTGCCTGTACTCTACAACATCCAACACACTGATCCACACAGCGACACCCAGGCAGGTCGGTGGCTGTGGGCCGGGCGTTGCCACTAGGGAGGAGGGTAAATATCAGAGAAGGTCAGGAAGAGGAGGGGCTGGGGAGGTGGAGAGGAAGCCAAATCAGTGATGATGAAGAGAGGGGGTGAAGCCATCCTGTCACTCAGGAGCTGCCATCTTAGCTGCCAGGAGAAGAGAGCTTGGCCATGACAAGTTGTTGTGTGTGTTGTTGAGCAAACATACATGGATAAAAAGATTACAAAATTGAAAACTCCAGGGACAGTTTTATAATTCCAAGTGTCTGAATTATATTTTGGGTTAAAGTTTAGAATCAAGATTAGGGTTAGGGATAAACATTCAGCACTTATTGAGCACAGATTTTCCTTCAAATCTTTTGCTTGAATATTTTCAGAGTAAGACATTCTCCACAACAATTATTATACTATATGTGCTTAATCCAGCATCTTTAAGATTTATCACACTTGCTTGCTTTTTATGGCTGAAAAAATGAAATTGACACTTAGATGTATTGTGTATCCTTTATTTACTTTTATCTATGATTAAACATGATATATTTTAAACTGTTGGAAAGCCCTTGAAAATAATTATTGAGGTTTAAAAAATTTTTAAAAATTAAAAAAATTCCAAATAGTTTGCAAATAGTTGGTTGGGATGAAGTGGTAATTGTATAGGTTAGTTGAAAATACTACGGCTCAGACATAGGAAATGTATGGAGTCATTGAAAATTCAGGGCTGTATAGTAGCTGAACCTATGTGTGTCTGTGAGTGCATGCATGCTTTATTTATTATATTATGCCGTCCTACAGTATAAATTGGTAGGATCTCTCAAATAAAGGGGGTAGAGGGTTGGGAGAGATGAAAGGAAATCCTCTGAACACCTCCCTCCTCCCCTCCAAAAAAGAAGCATACATACACGTACACACACAGATACAGAGAGACGCAGTCCAATCTGTCTGTTTCATCAGCAAGCTCAGCAGGAGAAGTATTAGCTCTAACAATACCGTCTCTACTGTTTTCTGTCTTTCAGCCCCTGGCGAAGCACAACAGTTTCTACTGTCAAAAAAGCAGAGCTAAAGTTCCAGATTGTGATTTATTTCATTAGGCAAATGAGATGTGCGAACCCTACGGCATTGCTGACTGAGTCACCACTTTTCACTGTCTCACTTTGTGTGTGTGTGCCCGTATGCAAACACAAACACACACAGAAGACATGTATTTGTATTTTTCACATGCTGAATATAGCTCCGTTAACAGTCCCAAAACATATGTAGCATGTCTGATTCAATCAAGTGTTCAAACACTGTAGGGTGATGAGCTGGTAGTGGCAACAGCTGTTGCCATGCATGCCATCCGGCACAAAATGGCCACAGATCTCCCCATATCATTTTACCTGACCACCATAGGGGGAGCCTCTCTCCTCTCCTCTTCTCTCCTCTTCGCCTGCTCTGATACATTAGTATTCTATACCAGTTGTGAGCCACTCAGTTTTGGCCAGAGTTATTATCACATATTTCAGTGATAAATGCAGAATAGTTAGTCAACACTATCTAATTCAAATGCCGTACTGAGTGGGACAGAATCATTCCTGTTTATGGACATACAGTTACATACAAATGTTTATGAGATACTTAACTCTTTGTTATTTCTACCCTTCTTTGCATGCAGGATCACCCTCAGGGAGGGTGTAAGCTGAGCAAGTGCTGCCCCACTCACCTGTGCCTGCTGACCACCTCTACAATTCAGCCCCATCCCTTGCCCTGCCCCCTGGTCAGCCTCCAACATGGCTCTAGCAGTCTGGATCATCTTCACCTTTGCTGTGGCTTTCAGCAACATCTCTCCATCCTCGCAAGGTGCGTAATGTCAGCATTGTGTGATAGTTTTTATATTGTCACATTACATTACATTTCTACCTTTTATTCAGTATTTCTACTGTATGTGTTTCCTATTTATTTATATATACAGTATATACAATTTGTATAATTTTGTAGTGCTCCACTGAGCCTGCTTGCAATGATGCACACAGCGCCTGTTGGTTTCACTGTGCCTTGTAACTGGCCTGACCAGGTTACTACAAATGAGGATGTAATATTTATATGTTAGCTACGTGATGAAGGTTGTAAGTGTATTGACTTGCTGACCAGGCAAGAAACCCTGCACTTGATTAACCAAACTGTCTCCGCAGGAGACAGAGAGAGTGTGTACGAGTGAGCTGGAGAGTGTATGTGTGAATGTCAATAAAATTTCTTGTCATCTTGATGTTAGTTGGAGCGTGGCAAGAATATAAGGAGGAATCCGTGCATGTAATGGTGCCATATGTGTGACCTCCTTGAATGTGCCATGTACCATAAGATATTTCATTTTATGTTTGTGTGTGCTTGTGTGTGTGCTATTGCTGTTGTAAGCCTGGCAGCAGGTGACCTGGTTGGGCTGAAGTGATGCTGGAGGGTGTGGGTGTGTGTGTGTGTGTGTGTGTGTGTGTGTGTGTGTGTGTGTGTGTGTGTTAGAAGATGTGTTGGAGGAAAGGAGCAGGGATTGCAGGGGGAGGCAGAGGGCCGATGAGGGAAAGGAGGGGCTGTTGGGTGTCCTGCTAGTGGCCTGCCACACAGGCAGCAGCACACCATCTGCTGTATGCTCTCAGTCAGCTCTGTGCCAACGAGCCGCTGGGTGATGGACAGCTAGGACGAGGAGGAGCATCAGGGAGATACACAGTCACCACTGGGAGGGGCTAGTGATGAAGCAGGAGGAGTCCAAAAAGTAGAGGCGGGGTAAAATTAAAATGTGTTGGTGTACGCCTGTGTCAGCATAGGTTTTAGCAACCCCTCTGTGTAAGCTCTGATTGGCCAGGTGCGGTTCTAATTTGAGTAGGTGCTGTTTTTTTCCATCTTAATTTGGCTGCTTTTGTAACATTGGATTTGTGTTTGTACGTTCTGTTCCACATTTGGCCTCTGGCGCTATGTTGCCTTGTGTTTGTGTGTGTGTGGGTGTGTGTGTTTGTGTGAAAATAAGCCTCATAACTATCTGTGTGACCTGGCACTTGGGGAGTATTAATAATGCATTAATAATCAATTGACTGTTATCTGTATTCAGCCCCAAAGCACAGGCGCAACATTTAGTTTGATGAAATTAAGAAAATATTTTTTCTAATAGAATCAGACACACAGGCATGCAAATAGACACATGCCCATGCACACCCACACTGTTTTGCTGCTCATAATTTTGGCAGCCAAATTTTGGCTGAAATGTATTCTCTCTATTGTAGTGACTAGAGGAGCAAGAGAGAAAATAAAAGAGAACAAGGGAGATAGACTTTAAAGGAAGAGGGCAGGGTTTTGGTGTGACGAGAGTTGCTGAAATCACTCTCAGGCTAATCGGAGCTCATTTGGAAACCTGCAGGATCATCACACATGGCTTCACAGTCTAATGTCTACCCCTGCTCTTCCTCGATATCCTGACTAATTTGACATGCTTTAACCTCACTCTACTCCTGACTGCACAGTCTAATATTTACCCCTAACACTCACAAATTTATTCTCCTTTGGAACCAGGTCTTTAACACAAATGTTCCTAGCCAGCATGAGCACTGTACACATACTTCTTCCCTGCTCTTTCCCACAACTCTCACTCACCTGCTCATTTCACACATTGCGAATATTTATCTTGTTAAATCGCTGTGCAATTCTCCAATTCTCTTTGCAATGCAGTGGCTGTGTGAAACAATAACATAATTTTCATCTGTGAATGCAAAGTCATACTAACCTAGGCGTATGCGGTATACAAAACCCCTCCACCAGCCGATCGCGGCAGGCTTCCTGACAGACAGACATGCGTACTCTGACAAACAGAATGTCCCGCTGATTCCACAGAATGCTCGAGACTGTACAACCCTTCATACGCAGTGTTGTTGCTCTGAAAGCCCATTAGGCTTGCTAAATGTGGCAGGCCTCGCAGGCAGCTGCGCCATACTTGATGAAGCCCTGACACAGAGATTTCATTTAGCACAGCACAAGCATCGGTGTGTGCATGTGTGCATGTGTGTATGTGTTTTTGTATTTATGTGCACCAGTGGTGACAGCTAGACCATTATAAGGCTACTTATAGGTCCTTTCAGTCTGTATGAATTTGCAAGTATGTACTGTACATACTGTATATGTGTGTGTACAGTATGTGAGTGCATAGTGATGTGTACGTGTATGTGCAAGATTCTGTACAGGTTTTTTGTGCTTGAGTGTGTCCAGATAGGTGTGTGTGTGTGAGTGTAAGCATTTGTGTGAGTATGTGTGTGCCACTCATATCAGGACACCAGTGCCAGCTGACTGGTGGAATCTGTTTTCATGTTCCCTGTATTTAAGCTTTTCCTCTCAGATCAGTCGCGTGGAAAGGCCCCTGGTCCTTTAGTGCACACGCAGACATTTTTATCTGTCTTCCCCTCCCCTCCCTATCTTTTTTCTTCTATGCTTTCCCCCTGAACGGTAGTTATTATTTAAGGATGGGGGACTAGCTGTTTTTACCCATCTCCTCAACAAAGTGCCTTAGTCTCTCGACTGTCCTTGGATGGTGACAGAATGTCTGAATGGGGACTGATCTCAATGCAGTATTTTGCTTTCTATAATGCAGGGGTGGGTAGTTATTTTTCATGGGGGTCCACATGAAGAATTCACTATGCCTTTGCAAGCCAGATGTTTTTTTTATTACTAAGCTGAGAGTTACTAAGTCTAAGTGTTGCTCAACCCTAGATTCTTAAGATCTTAAAAAATACTTGACCTGAAACCACATCCAATATTGCATTTTTGCACAGAGTAGACATTCAGTCCCGCAATACTATAATATTAAAATGATAATTTCAAAACTGCGACCTACTCACTAATTCATAAGAATTGATCCTCTGACAGGCTTGTAGCAATAATATTTCGAGAGAAGGCAATAAAGTGGTAGTAACCTTGCTATGTGTGCTTCTTGTATAATTTGCTGAACAGCATATTGTATTGCTTCAATGCGTGTTTTGTAAACTCTTGGCTCTACACTGTTCGAGCATACTTCAGGCAGAGCACCTGAGTGGTGCATAGTATTAGCTGATCAGAATCAGCTGTCACTATAACAACCAAGTCAATTAGGTGAACCTAGCAGCCTCACCCTCTTCTGCTCCTGCTGCTGTTAAAATTGTGCTGAATTCTTTTGTCTGTTACTAATCATCTGTAGATAAGTCATATGGGAAGTATCCTGGGGAATATTTTTTCACTAAATACAACGGTACAACCATGTACTGTTAAAAATTTCCTTTGACATAGAGTCAAAGACAGATGAGTTACTCCAGACTTTAATGGTTTAAAGTCAGAACAATGCAGACAACTTGCGTTTTTAAATTTCTAATAGGCTATCAGAACCGGCTGGTTATGTATGTGTTTATGGAGACGAGTAAACGCTCTCATTTTTTCTCAAAATGACCTTTGAATGTGTTTTACCATGGTTTTTCTCTGCCATAAAGCTGAAATCCACAGGCTTCACTGACACTAATTGCTAATCTAGCAGCTTGTGAATATTGCTGCGCATCATCTGGATTTTGCAATAAAGAACTGCTGCAAAGCCTTTTTCCTTCTCTTTGCCTCTCATGTATGTTTTCAAGCTTTCGTTGCCTCTCCATCTTATTAGCAATAGTTGGTGCTTCTCACTTCTCTCTCTACTAACACTTGCCTCTTATTTTCATCCAATGCTTTCTCTCCCCACCTCAGCTATTACTCTCTCTCTCTGCGTCGTGATGTCCTTCCCCCAAACCCCTCCCCCCTCTTTTTACTGGCTTACCTTCTCCCTCTTGGACCATTTTCCTTTTCCCTCCACCACTTCCATTTTACTCCCCTCCTCCTTTTTCCACCCTCCCCACCATGTCTTCTCTTTCACCTCTTTCCTCATCGGCTTTCGTCTTTCCCCACTTTCTATCCCGTCTTCCTCCTTGAGTATCACCCCCTGGCTCTGCTTTCCTTACCCTCTGCCTACTATCTGTTAACAGCTCACATCCCTTATTGTTGTCATTCTCTCCTTTCCCTTTCCTTTCACTCTCTTTTGCCTCTTTCTGTCTTTCTCTCATTTGCTACCTTCCTTGCTCCCTCCCCAGTGCTGGGGGTTGCTATGCTCTTCAAAGCCCTTGGCTGAGAGCAGTAGATCACAGAGAGGCCTGTGTGAGTGAAAGGTTAATGGATGGCCTTTGAACATATATTGGTAGTCGGGGGCGGCCGGGAGAAGGAGGGAGAGGCCGGGGCGGAGTGGCGGTGTGTTCTTTCAAACCTCCCTTTGAAGATGACGCATGCCGCTCTCATGTGTTTGTGCCTGTATACAGGGGCTGTGTGTTTTTTGTTTATTCATTCATTCACAGTGTTGGTGTGCATCTGTTTTTGCGTGTGTGTTTGTATTTGTATTTGCTTGTAGTTGTGTGCGTCGGGGTATGTTAGTTTGTGTACGTTGTTTTGTGTACTGCAAACAAGCTCCTACATAAAGGATTGGGGACTGTGTTCCTGTTTGTGCAGTCGTGTGATAGCTGCCTCTTTTCTCCCAGGGCCTAGCTGTGTAACTTCGAGGCTTTGTAGCTGTGTGTGTGTATCCGGGAGTGCTGGTTCGTGAATGTGTGCAGTAGTGCTGATGTGTATGTGTAAAGCATGTCATGTGCTCGAGAATGTGTGCATTTGCTTCTCGTGTGTTTTGTGGACTGCAGATTGATAATTACCAGCAGCAGCTTACGGCTGAAAGGCAAGGGCAGAGAGAGTGGAGAGACGGAGAGAGAGAAACGCAGGGAGAGAGATGGATGAGTGGAGAGGCTTGTAAACGTGTGAGAGGGGTAAAGGAGGAGGAAGGGATGGAAAGA